GTGGAGGCGAAGACGGTCTGGGTGGGGGGACATCACGATCATGTGAAGCTGTGGAATTTGCCGTCCTACGCTCGGGTATGAAGTTGGGTGGAGGCATGCTTCCAGGTGGTGGTGGTGCTCGAGGAGGCGGGGGAACGATCATGGTAGGGGGTCTAGTTTTGTCGAGGGGAGGAACTCCGTTGTTATTAGCCGAAGATACCCTGGAACGGTTAGGATGCGCAGTGGGTGTAATGTCATCCAGAAGAGAAGATGAGGCAGATTCGACTGACTGTTTCCTGCGATGTTCGTCAATAGAACGACGAGGGAAGAGAGTCGAAAGGCCTCCTAAACTTCCCGCGGACTCTCGTAACAAACTGGAGGACGGTGAAGGAGCTGGAGTAACGATGGTCGCTGAGCCTGTACCATTTGACTTATTGGATGGTGGCGTGGGAGGTGGTACGAATTGGAATTGCTGACCTCCAGTTGAGCCTCCGGTACCCACCCGATACATGACTGGCGATTGAGAGACGGTGGGCAAGCCTGAAATCGTTTGCGGAGGAGTAGAAACGGCTTTCTGAGGTGGCAGAACTTCCGGTTCTGTTTGAACCGACATCTCTTTGACTTGCGGTTTAGTTATAGCAGCGGAGGGTGTTGACATCTCTTGAGAAGTAGAGGTGGAAGTAGGAGGTTCCTCGATTGATACGGCCTCGACGCCTTTAGATTCGTAGGTTACTGGGATTTTGACTGAAGGGGCGTTGACGATGCTAACAGCGTGTGCGGAGCTTGATGGCGTGGCATAGAAAGAGGACCTTGATTGGGAGGCAACTGATCTTGCCTTGCTATACGTTGAGGCCTTGATACTCTCCCCGTCTGTCTCACTCTCCTCCCACTCGTCCCCTGACCCTTCGTTGTCAGTGACTGTCAGCATGGAGTGGAAGTCTTCTCTAGATGCTGAAGGGGTAGATGCCATGATGCTTTGCCTAGCATCCTGGTAGTCATCGGTATCGGTTTCGCCGTCCGTTTCTTGGCCGGTTTCAGTTGCACCATCATCAAATTCTTCGTCAGATTCCGTGACATCGTGCCCGAGTAAAGGCCGCCCTGCGCCGGCACGTAGAGTGGTTTCCCCTGCACTTCCAAGGCTGGAGGCGGAGATATCCCTTTGGGTAATAGTTGTCTTTCTGGTGCGTTCCGGTTCAGCGGAGAGAGTGGAGGGAAGGAGTGGCCTAGTCTGTACTTCAACCTCGGCTGTTTGGGATCCTTCAGTGTTGACGGCCTTCCCCTCAACCAATCGTTCTACCTGAGTTTCATGTTGGACGCCTGTATCAACCAAATCCCTTGTCAAAGTTGGCGCCTCTACTTGGACCTCGCGAACCACTTCAATGGGGACCCGAACCTCTTTAGTGACTTCCACTGGAACCCGAATTTCCTTGATAACTTCCACAGGAACTTCAACCTCCTTGATGACTTCCACCGGAACTTTGATCTCTTTGACGACCTCCACCTCTTTCAAAACTTCCACGGGTACCTCCTTGATGACTTCCTTGACCACAGTAACTTCAACGGGAACCTTGACTTCTTTGATCACCTCAATAGGTACCTCTTTAACAACCTGAACCTCCTTGATTACCTCGACTGGCACCTCCTTCACCTTGATAACCTCCACCTCAACTGGAACCTCTTTAACGATCTCCCGAACGACTGGTTCCATTTCGTCGGTCTGACATCCAATTTCCTCCATCTCAACCTCAATCACCTGCTCCTCTTCCATTCCAAGCTCCGCCATGATTCCCATGGCAGTGGCATTCCCAGAACCGTTTCCAGCGCTTACATCACCAAGCGCTTGGCCTAGATCCTCAGGAATATCTACCACGCTTGGTGGCCTGCCCCCGTTTATGCTCAATCCCACACCTCTCCTCCTCCCAGTGACACTGCCAGACAAGGACCTTCCTCCGCGCGTGGAGCGTCTTAATAAGGACTGGCGAAGGGGGCTTGGTGAACCATGGCCCACAGACGATGTCGAAGGAGTCTGCTTCAAAACATTTGCGAACGCCGGGTCCATCCCCTCAATGCTCGTCACACTAGCCACACTATTCCTATTGGAAGGTGCAGGCGAGGGTGATGCCGGAACGATGTCTGGTACTTGATCGTCTTGCTCAAGTTCCTCATCATGATTGCCATGGAAATGAGGTTCGTCGTCGTCGTCACCTTGTGAGGACGCCAGCGATAGACGTTCGTTGAGAGTGAGTCCACCGCGACGCGTTCGCCTGAAGCCTCTACCTCCGCGACCCGTTCGGTATGGAGTTCCAACATGCTGTCGCGCATGTTTCTTGGCTCCCGTGCTAGTAGCAAAGGTCTGATTTTCCTCTTGCTCCTCCTCCTCTTCTTCTACACCATCACCGTCCACCCATTCACCATCCTCATCCGCCTCGGACAGCCCTAACTTCCTCCTTAAATCCATCTTCTCTCTCTTCTCCCTTCGGACCGTCCCTTGTAGCGTTGATATTTGTCGCTGAGCATGAGCAAGTCTTTGTTGTAAAGCTTCGATCTCGTTGGTTGGGTGGCTAGGAGCCAAGAGTGGGGACGCTCCGCCTGGCAGCGGGGAGTTGTCTGGGGAATCGGCGTCAACATCTAAATCGAACTCGTCTCCCAGCCTATACCCGTAGCCGATCTTGCCTCTGCGGTTATTGGTGGATCCACTGAAAAAATCCCCACCGTCAAGACCACCGGGAGTGAGGAAGTCGTTCGGGGTCCCATCAGGCTTGTAGCCAAGAGCAGTAGGGCTTTGTCCGGACGTGTTTCCGAACCTACTAGCACCAAATCCAGGCCGTCGGGAAGCCCTTTCTACCTCGTTCTTCAACCGATCAACAGTTCCCTGCAGCTCGCTCTTGTCACGCTGCAAACCTGCAGCATTCTTTCGCGCAAGTGCAATCTCGGTATCATGTTTTGCTTGTAGGGCTTCCAGAGAAGATTGAGCATTCGCGAGTTCCGACTTGGCATTTTCGTGGGCATTTTGAGTGGTAGTGAGAGACTTGGTAAGTTTTTTGAGATCTCCTTCAAGTTTGGAGGTGTGAGTGAGGGAATTACTGAGCTGGGCTCGTAGTTCTTGTATGGTGACTTCAAGGTTCCAGTTCTCTTCCTTGTACTTGTCTGTATTGGGAAATGAGATCAAGATTAGGGTCTAAATGTCGTAACGGACCTGCACTCTGTTCCTGCTGTTTAAGAGCGGTACGTAGACTTTCCACCGATGCTTCCAAATCATCCCTTTCTTCTTTCATGTCTTGGATGGCCTTATCCCGTTCACCAAGTAGGCTCTGTAGCCGACGAACTTCGTTCAAAAGCCCACTGCCAATTTCAAATGCGAATTCTGAGAGAAAAAATATGAATTTCGTCAGCTCGATTGAGTTATGTGAGTACAGGGATGTACATACCGACATCGTCCTGCCGGTGAGCTGCGTTCTTCGCTCGTCTGCTTTGTGCTGCAGCGCTGGTTGACGCCTTGGAACGTTCTCCAACCGACTCCTCACGTGGCAATTCTGCTACGGTCATTGAGGGTGAAGATGACGACTGCAAATTTCGAGTCTTGGTATGGATAGTCCATTGAACTTTGTTCACAAGCCACTCACTTTACCGAACGCACTGGACAAAACTGCATTTTCCCGATCCCACTGTACCAAAGTTTCAGTCAACTCAGCCAACTTATCCTTCGCCTCTCCATTTGAAATGCCGCCTTCTCCTCCTGAATCGTAGCCCCCTTCTGCGCTGTCGCTGTCGCCAACAAGTTCATGTAATTGGCGGATACGCTCTTCGAGCTCCATTTGCTGGGCAAGTACCCGCTGCCCGAGAGTTCCAGCTTGTTGAAGCTGTTTCTCCTTTTCATCGAGAAGGGATTGAAGGTGAGAGCGTATGTCGGAAGCCGACGAAAGCTGAGCTAGGTCGAGGACGGCCATTTCCTCGACCTCTTTGGTTGAAGTTGAGCGCTGAGCTTGAGCCACTGTCACGCGTAACGTTTAGTCACATAGGCACATCTGGTTCGCCGCTCTCATTCAGTCAATATGGCAAGATGTCCCCCCTTCCCAAGTTCCTTGAATGTCCAACTCCTGTCAATTCAATTCAATTTTGCAGTCGGTCTTCGCTTCCCATCCTGAACTAGCATCCAAAATGGTATTTGTCATATCAGCTTCTCGTCATACGCGTAACACCATCTGAGAATCGACTGCGACCTCAGAATTAATCGGGTTAGAAGATTGGCCGACCTTCGTTGACTACAAAGCTCATTAAAGGCGTCTCTGCATCTAGCGTATGCTGGCTATCAACATGCCCCTTCTGACTTCACTGGCCATGGGTTGGAGCTGACTGTGATCGCGGTACTTATGCTGCACCGCGAAGGTCGGCCTGTCCACGATTCCACGTGGGGCTTACTAGTGAATACCGATGAATGAATGTACTGATATCGGAAACGAGTTGTAGGTGCTACTCGACCGCGCGTCCTCGCACATGACCGGTGATCTTTCGTTCCACAATTGTCCTTCGAATACTTACTATCTCTCGCCGCGCGCAACCTCAAGATGTGTAATCAGGAAGAACTTTCATGATCAGTGGGTGATTGACTGGATTGGGTCAGACGTTGGTCAAATATCTATCGGAATACTGTCTTGAGGGTCGGTCCTCTTTCATGATCGTCTGTTTTAAGTACAGCCAAGAGTAGTATAAACATAGGGTGCAGGACAGAATAACTGAATGTGAGTTATGCTAAATGTTATGCTAACCTTATTTTGGAAAATCTACCATACTGCATGTGAGATTTGCTAATGCTATGCTAGCAGATGTTATGATAAAAGTTATGTTAATGTTATGTCCAAATTTAGCATAACATCAACATACCACCAGCATAATTTTTATCATAAGGTCAGCATAGCTCACGTGCGGTACGGTGTATTTTCCAAAATAAAGTTAGCATAATAATTAGAATCCACCTGTCTCGCACCCAGTGTAATATCAATATACGATACTATCTATTTTGAGCACTAATGGGGTAGTGGTAACCTGGGTCGTTGCCACTGGGTTGCACTTTAGTTAATTTCGACCCGCTGGGGGTTCGATTCCCTCTTAGTGCAATGTATATATATATATATATATTTTGTATTTTTTGCTTGAAGTTGAACTCTGAGAATAGCCTATTTCTTTCATGGTTCTAAGCTTGTACTTTGTCATGGAAATCTTTCCAAGCTACTTGATTCAACGTCCCAATTCTTCTGTCCTGCACAAAAGGGCTTGAACTTTGTTTAGATTGGGTATGTTACCCCTTCCCCGCCAGTGTCAAGATCTAGAGTACAAAGCATACTTCCATGAGAGAATTCCTGACAAAAAGCGATTCAACTTTACGCAATTTACTTTGACGACATATTCCAATTCATATTTCATGACATGCATCGATTCATCGCCCAAGTCGTAGCAATGTGGATGGACGGCAAGACGGGTTGAGCTGGCCGTATTCGAGCCGGGCCATGGACTGTTCCATCCTTGGTTGTCAACCACCACCCACAACACATCACTCTCATTTCCCCCCGCCACTCTTTAGCAGACTTATACCGACGATGCACTTGACCCTGGTGGCCGTTCTCTCGTCGCTGTTTGTGGCCACTGTCAGCGGCACACAATGGTGAGCCCGGAACACCGCCTGTCAGCAGCTCCGAGGGCTAATTTTTTTTTCCCTTCTTCTCTTCGGTATAGCAACATAACCAGTCCATGCCCCAAATCTGCTCCCTGCTGCAGTACGTACTCGATCTTCGATGCCCAAATCTGCTCGTTGAACAAACGGATTAATAATAGGCGAATTTGGTTTTTGCGGGACGGAGGAGGTAGGTGTCATGAATGATTTTGTTATTTAGACGCTGTTCTCCTAGGTTCCACTACTCGTTGTAGAGCCTATTTTCCGACATCCCTACGTCTAGAAAACGATACTGACATATTACTTAGTTCTGTCTTGGCGGCTGCAATCCCCTCGCTTCAAACACTCTCACATCCTGCAAGCCCAACCCTGTATGCAAATCTTCAACGGTAAAGAATATCAACGTTATCACATCTCGAAGTCCGTCTTAATACCAGCCACTTCTCAGTACAACTTCAGCAACATGACACGCATTCTCACCAATGCCACATACTTCGATGGTGACATAGACAAATATGATTGGACTGTAGACAAAGGCTCCATCCAAAGTTCAGGAGGCGATATGGCCATGCTCTTGACGGAAACCAATGGTGGGACGAGGCTTTCCTCTACGAGATATATTCATTACGGAAAAATCACTGCCACAAGTAAGTCCCACTTCTTCGACCTCGCTATTTCCCAGCTCACTTCAATTTGGGCGACAGTGAAGACTAGTAAATGGGCAGGCGTTGTCACTGCTTTCATCACCATGAGTAACATCAAGGACGAAATAGACTGGGAATTCCCTGGCACCGCCGTTACTGAAGCTCAAACCAACTTTTTCTGGCAGGGCCATGTTCCTAATAAGACTGCAGGAGACACTTCAAAAGGCCTTTCCGACACTTTCTCTAATTATCATGACTATTCGATCGATTGGCAGCCGGAAGAACTCAACTTTTTGATCGATGGAAAGGTCGTCAGGACTGTCAAGAAGAGCGATACAGTAGATTCTAGGGGTGTTTCGACTTATCCTAGCTCCCCCTCTCGTGTTCAGCTATCGATCTGGCCTGCAGGTATTCCTTCTATGCCTCAAGGTACCAGAGAATGGGCCGGAGGCGACATTAACTGGAATGATCCTGATTACAAAGCTGCGGGTGAGTCCATTCGATTCCTCCTCCTTTATTGACACACTCAAAACTGTTGACCAGGCCAATTTTATGCGCTTGTTAAATCCGTCACCGTTGAATGCGGAGATAAACCCACCGACGCCAACATCACCTCTTACGTTTATGGCCCCAACTCGACTACTGAAACACCCAGTGTTGCATTCTCTAACGCCTCTGTTCTGTTGAATGGAGGCATTAGCACAAGAGGCGTTTCTTTTGGAGGTGCTAGTGGGATGGTAATGAGCCTTGCCGCGGTGTTCATGGGAGTTGCACTTTTCGTCTAAACTGAACCAATCACGGACTATAACGGTTTCTCGTTGTGAATCTCGCTATACCATTGTCTTCTATCGGACATATACCATTGCTATCTCGCCATAATTAGATTCTACGGTTCTAACGCCACAATTTAATACTAGTTAGTTCAATGATGCCTGGTGATAGTATCGGTCGGGTTCCAGATGAGCAAGAAACGGGCACATAGATAACGTCAAGGGCCGAAGAATCATGATACAACAACGGTAATACATCTTTTCTACTTCACGATCATAACCCACCGCCACTCAAGATGTACTCAATGGCCGCATGGACGTTTCCCCCCGTTGCTAGGAGGGCCCGTACATTCTGCGATGCATTTGTAAAGCCCATATCTTGCAATTGCTTGATCGTAAAATGTTTGAGATATAGAGCGAGAGGCGAAAAGTAAACAGGCTTACCTGTAGTTGCGTTTGGAACCGTTCTTCGGGAGGTCTGCTGTCTGTCGGTGGAGAGCCAAATCCCCCTAAGCCACCCATTGCCCACGGATTAGAACTCCCTCCCATCGCGTTCATCATCTGTTGCATCAAAGCGGGGTTAAACAAGGGGTTCGGTGGTGATGATGAAGCGGTATTGGCGCCTGTTGAGCCGGGGGTTGTACTTCCAGCCTGAGGAGTGGTATTGGCGGTGCCACCTCCCGCAGGCACACCGGGAGCAGGGAAAGCTCCACCACCGCCTCCAGCAGCAGCAAAAGCATCAAACGGACTTCCGCCGCCGCGCATTGCGGACGACATGTTGAACATCATACGCAAAGTTTCGGGGTTCGACCTATAGTCGAACGGGTCAATAAAGAACTGATATCAGACCGTCCACCTTACACCATGTTCCTGAAACCTTCACTTTGGAAGATTTCTCGAACTTGGGGGCCCATTGCTTGTAGCTGTGGGTTGCTAGCGATGATTTGGTCTACAATAGCAGGGTTCGACATCATGCCTGCCATCTGTTGTAAGACTTCCGGCGAGTTCATCATGGATTGCATCTTGTAGATTTGATCATTAGTTGCTCAAGATACCACCCAAGAGCGACGCACCATGTTCGGGTCATTGGGATTCAGCCCCATATCTGCAAAAGGGTTTAAACCAGCCATAGCACCAAAACCCATATGCGAGTTGAGCTGAGTCAAGGGGTCGGAAGGATTTTGTCCAGATTGCATTGTGGGGAGTGGCTGGGAGGTAGACTGTGATGACGTTGAACCCGTTCCTCCCGATCGTGCAGCGCCTTTCACCATATGGATTGTATGAGAAGTCTGAATTTTATACACTGAGAGCACATCTTCATCCTATTCCGTTCAACAGAAAAGTTATCGAATGCCACGGCGAAGTCTCGACAAAGATATACCTTGAGCACTCGCCCTGCAGCGACAATTGATCAGCCGTAAACGGAGGACAAGAGAACAATAAGAGAGCGGACCAGAATATATTAGCCGTTGCCTTGCTGCCTCTACGTCTGATTGCTTTGCGATTGCTTCCTTCAATTCTGCCACCGTCTTGTCAGTTGCGATCGTTATCTGAAGCTTGAGTTCGTTCGGGCCTGGATAAGAAAGTTCCTAAAAGTTCGTCTTATAAGATGATAAACAGGAAAAAAGATAGGCATGCCTTTGACGTTGATTTGAATTTCTGGTGAGGGAGTTTCGTCCGACATGGTGGAAAGAAACGAAAATGAACTCATAGTTTGTCAGACTCATTACAGTCACAGCCACGTGGTCGATGCACATCAGTAAATTATCTAATACGTAATCGATCTACGCAATTTCTGAGAATTCATCAGCGTTGACGAATACACCCTCACTTCCGATAGAATTTATCCCAATAGCACCCTCTTCAAACTCCTCTATTAGCTCTTGTGTCTCCCTTATTATCTCCTTTAATGTCTTTGCGGTGGTCCAAATTTCTCGGGGCTTAGATTGAATACCAGAATCCCATGATAGCGGTCGATATCCTAAACAGCTCTGCACCACTCCTAGTCTCGCGTAGGTCTGCTTGATCAATGACAACGACTTAACCCTTGTTGAATCAGCCATTGCAGCTTTCATCACCGATTGTGCTCCTCCGCCTCCAGGCGAAACTGATCGCCGTTGGTTCGGGGATACTAAGCCCAGGTGAACTATCCTGGGACCGGGGAGGCCACTTTCTGGATAGGAAGACATCATGGAGGAGTCTCTGGTAAGAGAACTTGATGTCATTAGGGGAGGGACTGGTTGATAGCCAATTCCGAGAGAGTCTGGACGTAAAGAGGTGACAGAGATATCCGCATTGTCACTGAAGGGATTGGTAGCGCGTAGTGAAGGTGAGGCATCCGGAGAAGAGGCAGGAGAGTATCGCATTCGAGGTTTGGTGAAAACTGAAGATGGCCTTCGTGGTCTTCCTATCTGTCCTGAGTGAACGTTTTCTCCCTGGTTGCGTCGCTCCATTTCGAATACATGAACTTTCTCGTGCATAAACGGCCGCATTTGCAAGAATAACGGAGTGCGATACACGCAAATCAATTCTGCCATAGACCACAAACAGTAGTCTACGAACCTTGGGCTCCGATATCTTTCGCCCATAGAAAATGGATGTACTTCCATAGACGACACATCAGTGGACCTGTTCAAGCCAAACTGCGCACTGACTCTAGGAGAGGGGGCCGGTGACGGGTTTTGAGAACCTTCTCTCCTCAATATGAATAGTGCATTTCCCTCGCCCAGTAGAGACCTCAGCAAGATTCCGAGCCTCATCCAAACTTCCGGAAGGCAGGAGTTCAGATCCTTCCCACCCCTCACGATCAGAACCTTGAGAACTTGCAGTGCCATCAACAACAAAGGCAGCTGTTGCGGCTTTTGAGAGTCTCCAGATGTTCTGCTATCCGTTGATCGTGCCCGCGCTAGCCTCAACCCTGTTGATCCTCCGTCTGGTGCCTGACCTTTCTCGCAACATCCTACGGTGAACGACAACAATCTCACCCAGGATCGCATTTGTGCACTGCTAACCACCGGGTCAATGCGTGCCCC